AAAAGAAAGAAAGAAAGAAAGAAAAAAGGCTGGTACATGACTTGGACATAAAATGGATATGGATATTCTGAAATAAATTGTTCCTCCTGTCACTATACTACCTTCTTAAGAGCAAATCCTGTGTCTAAAGTGCATGATGTCTTGAAGCATTAGCTAAAACTTTCCCAAATTACTTTTTCGCATTAAAAAATAACTGAAATATAATGTGTGGAGCCACATCCTGTTAGATTTGAGGCCTGAGTTTGTACTTGTGATTTCTGAAAAGCTTTGGAAACTTGGTGAAAATGTGGGCAGGGGGCAGTTTACTTAGCTACTTGGAAGTCACTTGGGGTTCAGGCTTTGTGAAATTGAAGTGCAGAGGAGAGTAACACAGCAAAGCCAAACCTCAGAGGGGACTCATGGCTTCATTGTAACCAGTGATTGAAAACATGGCACTGAACAAATCCCAGACACAGTGGCTATGCATATTTAATCCACTGGATAGGTTAACTATGGACAGCTCAAATAATCATAAAACAAGTCAATGTCCTCTTAAAATTTCTTACATTCCTATCTTATACAGTAAAGAGAGGAAAATCTCAAAACCAACCCATATAGTAGATGTACTACCATGGCAACTAGGTGATGCTATACTTGCATATGGAAATTATTCAGTAAAACAAAAATGATTGTGTTAGGGCCATAGGCAAAAGTATTGTTTGTGATGGTTAGGGTGTGGGGTTACAACGGATTTTCTATATTTGGGTGTAATGCTTCAATTTTTATAACAAGCATGTAATATTTTTACATTCTTAGAATTGGGGAAGCTATACAGATCAAGTATTTTATACTTACCATTTAAAATTATTAATATCTTTAAGCTTGTTCCTTTTGTTAAGGAAAAAAAAAAGCTTGAATCTGAAACTTTAATTCAGCTGGCAAGGTTTAGGCAGTTGTTTGTCCATCTAAAGCATATATTTACATAGACTGTGGGATGGAGGAAGTAGAACAAAAAAAGAGGCAAATTTTAACCTAGAGTACTCAAAGTGAACAGTAAATAGTTCAAGAATTCTTGATAACAATAAGCCATGGCACATGTAACAAATACTTTAAAAGTTATTCTAACTTTAACAAATTTAATATAAAAAGCTATCTGAAAAATCTCAGGAGCCTAAATTCAGTGCATGAATTTCTTTGTTGTGCCACTGATAGTTTATGGAGTCTAAATTTCAAGGGCAGAATTTCTTCTCCACCAATACCTGTACATTCAAAGATGAAGACAAGGGCTCCCACCACTTCGTGTAAGTTTCTCAGTATTTTCTTTCTACTCGACAATGACAAAGTTTTATAATATGAACTCTTGGGAGTTTGACTTCTCCCCCCTGCGAATGGTTTGCTTATTGCACGCTAATGTAGGGAAGTTCTTCCACAACTGATCTGCTTAGGAAGAGTGCCCTTGGTCCCCCGGGTCAGCCTTTCTAAACAGAGCAGACTTCCCTATGCCTTTGAACATGTTCTTTTTGTTTTCTCAAAATTGTAGTGTACTCTGCACATGGTGGGTAGAAACACCCTTCCAGATTTTCTTCCTTGACCCAAGATCATGGAGGTCTTGTGCAATTCACAGGGGAAAGAAGTAGTATGCAGGACATACGTAAATTCTTCTCACCATGTGCTTCATCCACACTGCTATTCCTTTAAGATCACTCTTAGGCAATTCCGAATATGAAAATGCAGCCTATTGTCAAATCGGTGAATTATAAAGCATTCCGACCCCACAACATTGTGTATTTTGTTTGCTTGTTTCTGTCCGCCCCAACATTTAGAAGTCTGCTACTCAGTAGGGGCTGGGCTTGGTAGAAAAAGAATGCAGTTTTAGTAGAAATGCGGGTATTCCCACAACCCTGCCTCCTTGAAGTAGGTGACTCTTAAACCTTCAGAAACGAATCCCCAGAAACCCTAAAACTTAAACCCTCAGAAACCTTGAGGGTCCCAAATAACCTTGTATGTGAAACTTCGCTGGAAGCAACCAGCAGTGGAGACGCAGAGGGTCCGGCAGCGGTCGGGGCAGCCTGGAGAGCAGCGGCTCCTCGGGGCAAGCGGGGTTCCCGTGGGGCAGGTGTGAGGCTGTGCGCGCCTGCGCGACGGTCCCTCCTGAGCCCCGCGGCGGGCTGGACCCCGGGCGGCGGGCTGCAGGCGCTCCACGCCGGGTTTTCCGCCGCTCTCCTCGCACAGACAGTCCCACAGCAGCCCCACAGACACACGCGCTCGCACCTCCTCGGCTGCGCTTCAAAGCGAGCGGCGCCCAGCTGCGCCGGGGGATGGCACGGGGAGGCGGCGGGGCCGCAGGGGCTGAGCCCAAGGGGAAGGACGTGGCCGGTGGCACCTACAGGCTTTTGCAATTCGGAATCTTTTCGTAAGGAGGCTGAGGAGGAGCCAGGCAGCGCCGCGGGCCTAGAGGGGCGTGAGGGGGAGTGTTCCCGGAAAGCTGCGGCGATGGAGCTGCGCTGCGCCCCTCCGCCCTAGGAGTTGAGAAAGAAAACAGGAAACGTGGTGGCCGAGCACCCGGCTGCGGCTGATTCATTCGCTTCAAGTGCGGCGCAGAAGGCTCGGCAGGCAGGGCGGGCGCGGGGCCGCAGCTCCGGGCCGGGGACCGAAGAGACCCGGCTGTGGACCTGACGCTCCTCTGCGGGGCGGGCACCCGAGCGCGCGCGCCACCCCCTTGCCATCCAGTAGAGCTGGGCTCCTGAGCTGGGACTCGGGCCGCCGCACCTTCGAAAAGTCACATCGTGGTTTTTCCGCCCGTGTGAAAGTTGGCTCGGCGCTCTTTGCGCGCCCTCCCTGGAGGCCGACCCGAGACGCCAAGCTGGAGAGACCGTGCCTCCCCGAGGTCGGCCGCCCCGCCAGCAGAGCCTCCGCTCCCGTCACGCTGCCTGGCTGGGCAATATGAAGGAGCAGCCCTCATGTGCCGGCACCGGGCATCCGAGCATGGCGGGGTATGGCAGGATGGCCCCCTTTGAACTCGCTAGTGGCCCTGTGAAGCGCTTGAGAACTGAGTCCCCCTTTCCCTGTCTCTTCGCAGAGGAGGCCTACCAGAAACTGGCCAGCGAGACCCTGGAGGAGCTGGACTGGTGTCTGGACCAGCTAGAGACCCTACAGACCAGGCATTCCGTCAGTGAGATGGCCTCCAACAAGGTAAGCCCGGGTTCTGCTGTCACCGATGCCGCAAGGCTGCTGATTCCCGCGCTGGCGAGGCCACTAGTACTGGTGGCCCTGGGAAACAGAGTGAGAGGTTTTTAGGCTTACTGCATGTTGCCTATTCTGCTCCCTTAGAAGGAGGTTCCTGTTTCCATGCCTTGCCTCTCCTAGTCACTCCCGATAAACATTTTGCAAAAGCAATTTGACGTAGTTTAAGTACCTCCCAAGGCACAGGGTTTCTAAGTGACACTGTGCCCTTGCAGCAGAAGCCCAGTAGGGTCCATTGGCATTGCATATTTAAAGGTGTTCTTGGGATTCCCGGTTGAAAATAAGAAATTGGTGGCTGTCTGTGCAATCACTTGAATGTCACTACCTAGGGCACTCAAACTCAGAAGAGTTCATCGAACTTGGAACCTTCACCTTGATTCATCTAGTTGTCAGGGTACCCCACAAGAACTGAGCTTTTATATATTCAGTTGGCCATACACATCCACAGGAAACATTAACAGAGTTAGAAGGTTCATTATGATCATTACTTTTGTTTCCATTAATCTTGGAGAGAAAGCCCAGCTTTTTGAGGTCATTTAGTTACAAGGAGGCTTCAACTAGGCATCTGTGCCATATGTGCTAAGGTGCTGGTCTTGGCAGTTAATGGAGTTTTGAGGGCTCAGAAGTAACCTTCAGCCTGGGACAGCCTTAAAATAGCACGGAAAACAAGGTATAGTTTTTTTCAGTTTTGCTCTATTTCTTTGGATTTCCTGTTCTTTTTGTCTTTAGTTATGCAAGGAGATAATTGGAATTATGTATGTTTTTAATGACTATTTGAGGGACAGGAAAGGAGGCATGTGCATGTCGTATGTAGTTGGCTGAAGGATTCAGCCAGTAAGGACCGGTAATGTTGTGTGACAATTGATAATAGTTGCCTCTTCAAGATATTTAGGTATTTTTGGCCACCTATGTACAAGGTCAAGAAGGTTATTATCTTACAATTCATCTGTGTGCACATATCTTTCAATGAGTGATGCTTTTTTTTTTTTCCTAGCTTACTATGGTTTTTTCCCACCTGTTTTGTTCTCATGCAGTTTTTACAAAAATGCCATAGCATAACAGCCATTTGATTGTCTCATCTGTTAACATTGCTTTTGGAGATAGCATTGTTGCTTAAGTGAAAAGTTGGCTTCAAATAAATAAAAGGGGTGCTGTGGATACAGCCAGTAGATACTAACCTACCCCTGTGCACACTGACCTACCCATTTCCACACTGATGATCAATTCTGGTTTTTTTTTTTTTTTTTTTTTTTTTTGTCATTTGTGCCTCATTTCTAAATTTGGCACAGCTCTTCATCAGAATGACCAATTATTGCTCTCTTACTGGGACTCTTACTCCGTGCTGTGGCATTAGGTACCTTTGTTCTCATTTTGTTATTTAGAAAGAACAAATTCTTAGTTTTATAAAATATAGTTTATTTTTCATAATTTGATTCTTAATAGCTGTAGACATGCTGAATATGTCCATTGTCTTTACTGCTAAATGGGAACACTTTGCTGTGGACCTGAGTTCTTAATTCTATTGTGTGGTTGATTCTGTGTAAGAAAAGAAGAGCAGAATCAAAAGCCACTTAGCAATGTGCAAGCATTAGTGTATGTTTTCAAGATGATTTGACAGTAGTTTTTCAGCTAAGTGAATTTGAGCAGCTAGGTTACTTTTCCTAAAATCCATAATGATGAGACCTATGTTCTAATAATGTATTGTAAATGACTTCAGCTGTCAAGGAATTCGTCTATACATTTGAGTTAAAAAAAATTTTTAGGTCATAATCATTGCCTAAAATGATTCCTTTCTTTTAAAGGTACCAGATAAGACAGTGGTTTTTAAACAATAATCTTTATTATGAAGGCCCCCAATTAGACTTCGAGTTAATTTACAGGTTTAATAGAAGAGGTTGGTCTATTTGGTTAAAGTGAAATCCAGTTAAAGTGAGAAGATAGTTTTTTCAACAAGTAGTCATTCTAGCAATGTTTATGTCTTGCGGCTGAAAAATTGCAATATTTTTTCCTAGTCTAGGACAGAGCTAAATTGAAAAATTATTGCTGTCACACTAATTTTTAACATTAAACTTAGCTCAGCTTAAGCTGTTGCTTAAACTTTTAATGTCCAAGCCATTCACATCTTCTTTAACTTATTTATATCTAAATAAGTGCTAAGCTTACATGACTTTTTGTAGACAAAAATGGGTTAGCATAGAAAGAAGAAAAGCTCTTCCTAAAGGTTGTAAAGTTACTATTCTTCTTGATAACAAGGGCATGGATAAGCCACATCCACAAAAGCTGTAAACCGAGTTGGAACAGCTGATCCCAAGGTTCCTGTGAATGTTGCCACACCTTCTGTCTGAACTGGAAATGTGTACAGCTTGCATCATCTCCACTCAGTTATTTGATATTTCTTTAGTATGAATGAATGAGTCAGAAACACTGCTTTTCAGTTGTTAGTTTTATTACCATCCATTCTTTTTACATGCAAGTGTTTGAACCAACTGATATTTTCAGTTTATTCTCTTTTTGCCTTTGAAAAATTATGACAGTTTTCTTTGTTCTCTCTTGAGGTTTTAAAAAAAATACTCTGAGTGAAAAGTACAATAAAAATACTAGTAAGAGATCAGGATTTTTAAACAGTGATAGAAAATAATTACGGAGATGGATTTAGGTATTAGGAAGGAGGAAATTGATTCCTCAAACCCATTTAACAAATTGGGCTAACACATTATTTCTGTGTTTCTTAGACTTCTCAATAAAAGGCCTCATAATCAATTAGCAGTTTTTAAATGATGTTCTAGGAGCAACTAGCTGTATTTCCTGTATTGGTATTATAATGTTGCTTGCTTGTTGATGGCATTGAAGCAGGAAAATTATTGAATTCTTGGCCAAAGCTAGGGTTGGTTGTAACACATGTAGGATGCTTGTACCAAGTGGGGTAAGAGATTCCAGATGGCATTTAATTTGAGTGATTAAATCTACAGCATTTACCCTTATAAGCACATTAATCTGCCTGAGATTTGTACAGATTTCCTTTGGAACCTCATTGCTGCAATCGAGGGTAATTTTAGTGAGGTCTCAAAGCTTTGGAGGCAGGCAGACCTGGAAGTTGAATTATTGTTTTGCTTCTTGCTCATAGAGTTACATTAGAGAAATGACTTCAACTTTTTTAGCTTCAGTTTCCTTAGCATAAAATGGGCATCATAAAAACTATTTTGAAAGATCAGTGTAAGAGTTCATAAGAATATATATAAAAGAGCTAGTATCTGACAATAGTAGGCACTGTCTGTTGTTATTGCTATTATTTGGGTTTTAGGTCAAACTTCATTGGTTGCCTACATGGCTAAAATGTCTTTTTACCATTCAGCTGTAATTTATACTAGACGTTTTAAGTTTCATGGATTTTTATAAGTCTTAGATAACAGTCTATTGCACACATTTCTGTATCACAAAAATGCTTAAGTTATATTTACAGGTTTTTTTTGGTATAATACAGACATGAACATTCTGAAGTTCTAATTAGAGGTTTAGGCTTTTCTTAAATTCCAGTTACAAAATGCCAGACAGAAGAGCTAAGTACTTTTTCTGTTTTACTCTAAAACTGAAAACGCAGACCTTACTAATTTTTACAACATGTAAAATGTAATATGGGTTGGTGGGCAAAGTGCCTTTTAAGTAAAACACCTTTAAAGCAGAATAGTTTCACGGTGTTTTTGGTTACCTTTCTCTCATGGAAAGTTTATCGAGGATGGAAGTTAGTGGATTGGAGAGCAGGACAGGGGTCTGGGCCTCAGGGCTTTCAAGGATTGTGCTGTGGAACCCTGCAACTTTATCCTCTTGTGACCTAATAATGCACATTTCACCAGGCCTTCTATGTAAGTTCAGTGAGGTTCAAAGGAGAAAACGAAATCATTTTGAGTTCTCCCCAAGACATATCACTAGAAAAATGTATTTTGTTTCTGCTCTCTAATTTTGGGGGCAGTTTGAGGTTTGGCATGGCTGGAAATGACTGTGTTCCAAGCTGAAAGTCTGTCTTGAAGTTAGAATCCAGCCTCTTTCTAAGAGACTTCAGATTTTTCTATAGTTCATTCCAAATGTACTTAGACCAGCTTTACAAATGTGGTCATGACTTCTTTATGGAATTTATTTTGTGTGTTCAACTTTTGGCAAACCTCTCTAGCATGTTTCTGTTGCCTATAAATTAAATTGCTTTTCTGGGGTGCTTTGTGTTAGTGCTTTCTCTGGCTGCTCCCCCTACTGCTTTGTAATAGTCAGTGCAGAACATATAGTAGCACTTTTTGTTGATGTATTTTCTTCTGGACAAGAGGGGTGTTGTAATAAATATAGGATCTTCATAGAGGTGGCTAAATCTTAAGCAGTTTCCGCATTATGCAAGTGCAGCGTAACTCAGAATAGAAATAAATGTTAAACTTTTGCTAAGAAGGAAACTAAGTTAATTGGAAAAGGCATTTTAGTTTTATGGAGGGAAAATACCCTCAGTTGTTTTCTACATTAACATATTAAATCTTAGATTTAACAATTGTTGAGTTAATATGCCTAAATAAAAAGTTTAAATTTCAGAAGAAAATATCTTTTATAGTTATAGAAAATCAACATTTAGATGTTTTGAGTTCGATATCTGCTTTTTCATCTACTTAATAAAGGTAGATTTGGGAAAGATTTATGTAGCTTACATATAGTACCTAAAAGTTGATATGGAGGATTGAGAATCATATAATCGCTGTTAGAAAAAATAGTTTCTTTTCTTTTAAGCAATAATAGAAGAGGGAAACAGTTTTAAAGGAAATTTTTCTTTCACTGAAAAGTAGAGCCCTTGACTTTAACTTAGCATAAAACTAAGGATTAAAAAAATTTTTGTCTCTATTGTCATCTGTTCGGTTCCTGTGTCAGTATTTAGTGACAGTAAGTTTAATTGTTCCTAACATTTAATTATCAAAAACTTC